AACCATTTCTCTCCATAGTCAGACTGAACAAGAATAAACTTGTCTAATTTTGTTTCTTCGTTGTAATCACCAATAATAGAACAAATTTGTTTTTCTTTATTAATTCGAACTTTCTTTATGCCTTCAAAACAAGATTTTAGTATTACATTTAATTCTTCAAAATTGTTTGATTCAAATAATGTTTTTTGAATTTCTTTATCTGAGAGGAAAAAGAATGATGGAAAATATAATCTTTTGTTTTCTATGTAATTTTTTACTCCACAATGCGTTTTTTCAAGCTTTTCACTAGAATTATATAAAGATTCTAAAATTGTTAGATTGTCAATTTCTAAGAAGATAGGATTCATGCATAATTTATTTTGGACATTTGTTATAATTCCTTTTGCTTCAGTGTATAAGACTGTCTCTCCAGGCAAGATTCTTCCTATGTTAGGATAGCAAAAAGTAGAATGTAAAGGTAATATTAATATTTGAACATCCCGCCATTGCATCATGATATTCTTAATTCTATTGAGAGACATAAAAAAATCGTTTACAGTCAAAATTATTGGTTTCACAAAATGAGATGTCTTTATTTCTTCAATCATTATAAAATGCTCTTCAAGAAGCAATTCTATCTTACATAAATTAGAGAAGACATACATTTTGGATATTTTGTCAAAGCTTATCTCAAATGAAATTGTTTTCCATTCTTTAATCATATGTGACAATTTTTCCTGTAGTTCTAGCTCTCTATTAGCACCTATGCTAATAGCTTCATACTTCTCAATGTCATCCATCAAATTGAAAGAAATCATTTTCCTCAGACTTGTTCCAGCATTGGGTGAAAGATCAAAATTGCTTATTGCAGACATTTCCATCCAGTGACACTTTCGAAGAGCTAGATTACACATGCATACTATCAATGGTAAATAGTTTTTAAAATCACTTATATCATTGAGAGCTTGCCAGCATAATTTTAATGGAGCTGGTTGTTGCATAGGATCTGGATCGTCTGCAATACCAGAAAATTTGAAACATTTGTTTGCTGTCAGATCCATTTTAATCTTTGCTTTGAATGTTTTGCTCATTTCAGTAATCGTTTCAAAGTAGTTTAATGTTTTCTTTCTTATAACAATAGCATCCAACCACTCAAATGGTCCATCCAACCATATGGTATTGTCTTTCCTCCATTGGTGAACAATGTAAATAAGGTCATGAAATGGGATAATTATTTCTTGTAATTCAACTACTTTAGGAAACTCAGTTTCAGGAAATTTAAATAATTTTTCTTCTTCATTGATTCTTTGCATTTCGATGTTAATTTTATTTACTTCTTTAAACAGCCCTCTATAATATTCAACATATTCGTTAACTCTATCAATATCATCCATATNGAAATGGGATAATTATTTCTTGTAATTCAACTACTTTAGGAAACTCAGTTTCAGGAAATTTAAATAATTTTTCTTCTTCATTGATTCTTTGCATTTCGATGTTAATTTTATTTACTTCTTTAAACAGCCCTCTATAATATTCAACANCTCTTTTGCATGTCATCTTCTAATTCATTCTTCATTGCCTCGCATAATGTATTGTGTTTTCTAAATACAGGCTCAATTTCATGTAACCAATTTATGGTTTTCCT